ATGTTCTATTTATTGATTAGTATAAATTATGGACACTTCAAAATACATTTTTTTGTTTTTAATTTAAGTTTTCATTAATATTCATATTAAATTTACAATTGTCTTCTTCTTTTTTATAAAATATGCATTGTTTTGATAACAAACAGTGACATTTTCTGTTGTTGTTGTTGTTGTTGTTGTAACAGCTTAAACTATACAATTTTAATCCGGGGGTTCTGTATTTAGGTCCAAGCCAAGAAATTGGGCTACTTCAACAGGGTTAGTCCATAAATCCATTGGGCTAAGTGAAGTAGGGTGGGCTGGACAGTTGAATATGTGGTGGGTATCATGGGGACCCTGTCCACAAGATGGGCATATATTGGGGACGGCACGGTCTATGCGGGACCAGTAGGCGTTGAGCCTGTTGCTCCATCCCGATCTCAGTTGTGCCAGAGCAACTCTTGTTTTCCGCGGCAGGTTCTTCTCTATTTCTGCTATGGGCGGTGGGCGACCTCCAAGAACGACAGTCGCATGAGCTGAGGAAGTAAACAGGCTGTCAAAGGTGACCCCCAAAATCTTTGGGTGGTTCACAGTCGGAATTTGGTTTCCATCGACTACGACGCCTAGGTTCAAGTTTATCTCCTTCGTCCAGGTGGTGAAAAGTGTAGCTGAAGATTTCGCTGGTGACAGTTTCAGGTTACGTCCAGTGAAGAAGTTGTGTATTTCTCCGAGATAACCATTCACTCGATCGCATAGCTCATCAACGTTTTGGCCCGTCGCCATAATGGTACAGTCTTCCGCATAAGATATCACTTTAGAGAGGTAGAAGTTAAACAATAGGGGGGATAAGACACCGCCCTGTGGTACTCCCTGTTTAACTCTACGGGTTTTGGAACATTTGTCTCTAAACTCAACGAACGACTGACGGCCACTCAGATAATTTACAATCCATCTCTTCAAGTTGTTGGGCATGGTGGACTGTAGGATGTCCTGGAAGAGTGTGGCATGGCTGACTGTATCGAAGGCTTTCGATAAATCTAGCGCCACAAGGAGTGTCCTTTCACAAGGCCTCTGCTGGTTTAAGCCTTGTGAGATCTGAGTGGTTATGGCGGTTAATGCTGAGGTGGTGCTGTGCATCTTACGGAATCCATGCTGGTGGCGAGCTGCTATAAGATGGCAGGACAGCTGGGGGAGGAGGAGCGCCTCAAGACTCTTCGCGACTGGTGACAGGAGGGAAATCGGCCTGTAGGATTGACCCTCTGTCGCGTTCTTCCCTGGTTTCAGTATCGGGATGACTCTACCCTTTTTCCAGGCATTGGGTATTATCAGGCTGCTCATTGACAGGTTAAAGACCATTGTCAAGTACTCGACTCCCCGTTCGCCAAGGTGTTTCACCATCAGCATGGATATGCCGTCGGGGCCAATCGCCTTAGATGGTTTGGCTGCGTTGGTGGCCTCTGCAACTTCAGAAGGGGTGAAATGTTGTGGAATGTCCGAGACTGGAAGGTTGTGAAGTTTGCGAACAACACTTCGTTTCGCCTTATCTCTCTCTGGGTCCTCAATAAAAAGTCGGTGGCCTCTGCAACTTCAGAAGGGGTGAAATGTTGTGGAATGTCCGAGACTGGAAGGTTGTGAAGTTTGCGAACAACACTTCGTTTCGCCTTATCTCTCTCTGGGTCCTCAATAAAAAGTCGGCAAAATGCACGCGAGCACCGTTCAGGGTCGGAAATAGTGGTATCTGCAAACTTAATCGCGACCCTGTGATCCTTCTTCGTCGGGTTGGAGAGAGACCGAACCGTAGACCACAACTTACCTGAGCTCAAGTTGCAGTTCTTCAAATGATCTAACAATTTGTTCCGCTTGTCCTCATTTACCAACCTGCTGATATCATGATTCAGCTGGACAATACGTGGGTCGTCGGGGTTGATACTTCGGAGGTCATCGCGCTCGTCTGCTAGTCTCGCTGCCTCTGCTGGGAAGTGCGGCCGCACTAAGGATAGTCGACCAGCAGGAATAAAGCGGGCTGTTGCTGCGATGACAGTTTCGCGGAACTTGCTCTCTGCTTGGTGTACGTTGCTAGGAGCTGGAAGATCATTGAAGATGCAATCAGTGAATTCTCTGAAGCCGGGCCAGTCTGCTTTCTTTTGGTTTATGTAGAGACGGCGTTCAGAGACGATGAAGTCATTGGGTCGATCCAGACAAACGATTATGGGTAAGTGGTCTGAGGCTAGAGAAACTACTGCTCTCCAAGTTGCGTAGTTTATCAGACCAGGGCTCGCTATTGTGATGTCTGGAGAGCTGGCGCAGTAACTGCATTTTCTGTTGTTTTGTATGGCAACACTGCGAAGTTTAATCTTCTACTCAATGGTATTAACATTGGATTAAATTTATTTTTAGATTAACTAATCTAATTATTAATTGCCATTTGATTGCCAACTCAAAAACCCGGTCTTAGAATTTAACGCAAACGTACATTTTATACAATATTAAAAACAACATTAATTTTTTTATTAGATTGTTAATTAAATTAATATTAACTCAATTTTAACATTAATAAGAAAAAAAAAACGTTAATAAAAAAAAGTTGACTGACTGCTTAGGGGGTTCAAAACAAAATTTTACTCTGCATGAATTCTAATCTAATTCCAAATCAAATAATGCACCAATGAAAATTCAAATGTTCATTGGTTGTACGCACTCATTTTAATGCGGAACTATTTTTCCAAATACGAACCCATGCACGCCAATGACACGCTAATGTTAAAATCATGCATGTTTCACCTAACCCAGCGACAGCTATATTAACCAACCAAAAAACCATCTTTCTTGGACCATAATAGTGCTATATTCCAAATTTTTCCCATATATCTTTAAGCTTCTGATCTGTAATTTAACACTAATCAACTCTGGAAGTTGTTTTGAGTCTATTGAGTCTATTTAAGTTTAGTTAAGTATGTACTATTATTTTTGGTTTTTACTAACATTACCTATTTCACATAATATAACTTGTAATGTTATAGGGTTTACAATTCAGTATAATTCCTGATTTTTATATTCATGTAAAGGTGAAAAATAATGAATATATGTATTTATTTGATAGATTAACTGCATTTCAACTTGTTTTAAAACCGGTAAAACTATTTTTTCAAGAAGTAAAAAAAAACGAATATCCCGAAACCCGATTTTTGAAAATAGTTAAAGAATGGAATTTTCTCGGATTTTTTCTATTAATTATTACCATTTTTAATGAAAATTGCCTTCCATTGGTATTTAATTTCATCCAAGATGTATTATTATTCACAATTCAAATTACATCTTTTTCTAAAAAGATAAAGAATACCACTAAAACAGGAAAATATGTAAATTTTTTTATATTAACCACTATTTTTAGTATTGACAATACCAAAAACTATGGTACCAAAATATTTTTAAAATTATCATTTTAACAAAACATTCAATTCTGATTGAATGCTATTTTGCGTTATTTATTATAAGAGACTTTATAAATATTTTCTTAAGCTTAGATATTATTGCTAAGTAATATATAAGTTTGGCCTATAAGGATTTGTTACTGAATAAATAAATATATGGAGGTAGGGTCAATTATGGGCCAATCCTCATAAAATTTGGTAGAGAGTTTTCGGTTCCTATAATGTCAATTTTCCATTGTCGTTTGTCTGAATCGACCCAACGACTTTATCGTCTCAGAACGCCGACATTACATAAAAGAGAAAGCAGACTGAATCGGCTTCAGAGAATTCACTGATCGCATCTTTAATGATCTTCCAACTCCTACCAACGGACACCAAGCAGATATCAAACTCCCTGAAACTGTCATCACAGCAGCAGCCCGCTTTATTCCTGCTGGTAGACATTCAAAGTACCATCCCCGACGACGCACATATTGTCCAGCTGAATCATAACATAATCAAGTTGGTAGATGAGGACAACCGGAATAAATTAATTTCAAGAACTGCTACTTGAGCTCAGGTAAGTAGTGGTCTTAAGTTCGGTCAATCTCCAAACCGAGGAAGAAGGATGACAGATCAGGCATTTTGCCGGCTTTTTATTGAGCACCCAGGGAGAGATAAGGCGTAACGAAGTGTTGTTCGCAAACTCCACAACCAAAGTCGGACCTTCCACAACCCTACACCACCTCTGAAGTTGAATAGGCCATCAAAGATACCAAACTATTGAAGACGATTGGCGCCGACGGCATATCCATGCTGCTGCTAAAGCAACTTGGCATGCGGCTAGTCGAGTACTTGACAATGGTATTTAACCTGTCAATGAGCAGCACAATAATACCCAATGCCTGAAAAAAGAGTAGTCATTCCGATACTAAAACCAGAGAAGAACGAGACAGAGTGTCAACCCTACAGGCGCTCATCCTTCCCCAGTTGTCCAGTCATCTAACAGAAGGTCGTCACCAACAAGGATTTCGTAAGATGCACAACACCAAGTGAAAAATAATGAATACATACTTGTATTTATTTGATAGATTTACTGCATTTATCCTTTCTTTAAAACCGGTAAAACTATTTTATCAAATTTTTTTAATGAAAATTGCCTTCCATTGGTATATTATTATGCACAATTTAAATTATATAATTTTCTAAAAAGATAAAAAATACCACTAAAACAGGGATAGAAAATTATTTATAATAACCACAATTTTTAGTACTGACAATACCAAAAACGATGGTACCAAAATATTTTTAAAATTATATTTTTTACGAGAGATATATCAAATTTCTTTTTAACAGCCTATTATTTTGCACAGCACTGTAGATAAATAATAAAATGGTCAAGTCTTTAATGATTATATTACAAATCAAATCATTATTACGTATTAGTTTAAAAAATAGTAAGATATTAACTATCAAACATCTAATAGGTAGTTTCAAAGAAACATTATTTTTCACTGAAATATTTTTTGATGTTTTCCTCCACTATGTATTTTAAATTGACTCAACTCAAAATATATATGTATATATTTTTTGTTTTATTCTTTTTTTTAGAGAATCGAAAAAATCTCGATTAAGTTTGGGTGGTGGGCGTCACATCAAAACTATTTCATTGAACCCAGTAGTTACATCAATGGAGCGAAGGTGGAGTATTGTTGGTTCCGGGTGGTCAAAAACTAAAAATAGACGTGGTCCAGAAAAAAAATGTTATATGAGCAACAATTGCTTATTTGATGTAGAAACTGCTGAAAATGAGAAAAAAGGTCAAAATCGTCACCAACAATCGAGGGGAACTGATGATGATACTGAAAATAAGGGAGATGAAAGTGATTGTATAAAAATGTCTAAAATTGAATATGAAGAAATTAAAGAAAGGGTTGCAGCCATCGAAAGCCATATTTCAAATGAATTCGGTGCCATCCACACATCGACATTAAACAACTCATCTATTTCTGTACAAGTGGGAGGATTAGATAATGTTCAGACACAATATGAACGAATGGTAGTTCAAACAGAAGCCTTATCCTCACCTGCCACCGAGCAGCTAGCTCAACGTCTAAGTCGAGGTTTGAATATAAGGCAAACAATAGACCAACGTGTTATACGTTCGCCTAGTGCTCGAAAGATTGGAACAATACGTCGTAGATCTCAAGATAAAGTTCGTGTATTACGTAATCCCAGCTGGCACATGCATTCTTCAAAATGTTTACCACCATGTAATGAATCCGATTCACTATTACATGATAAGAATCCAACAAGTCTCATAAATACTAAATTGTTTTACGCAAACCATAAAATAGCTGGTCAGCACTTTAACTCTTATAGCGAATTATCATCTTTACCACCGCCCAGAAAACACAACCTTACAAATTCTTTGGATAACATTTTGACCAACGATAATACAAATGAGAAATGGATGTCTGGTGAGGAATTTTTTAGTAATATGCAATTTACTGACCAAAATGACAAAATAAATGATGAATGTTTAAATCAAATTCATGTTGAGCATGTTACTCCTGTGTCTCGTAAAAATTATTATGATGCAGAAAAAACTCCAATGTTACCGCCAAAATCATTGCCCAGAAAGATGTGTAATCTTAAAACGCCATTGAAAACTACAATAAAACCATCAACAACGAGTAAACTACCCTTTGTTAACAGAATTGCTACATCAACACCAGCTATTGAGGAGGTCAGTGGTCGAGCTTCTATTGCCCGATTGAGAGCACAAAATGCTGGTATGGTTATGGCTAAAGCCAAATTATTTGATGGACTAGGAAACAGTGGTGGTAATGAGCCTCGTTCTATGGTAGAGATGGAACAAAAAACAAATACTATTCGGCACACAATGGCATTAGAGAATTCAATATGTTTTAAAAGTACAGTATCATTAGATCATAGTGATATTGGAGGGGAAGTGCAGTCAAAAAAAACATTAACAAGTACTCCAATTGCTAAACGTATTCAGAGTGCGAATTTAAATACCCCAACGAGTTCATTAAAGCGAAGACAACGTTGCAACGCTTCTAAATATCCGCAGAAGCAATTTATAAGATCTATTGTAGCCGATGATAATTTAACAAAACGACGTAATTTGAATGAGCGAACCTTTATTTCGGAAAATAGAGAAAATAGAACACCCAATAATTCGCGGAATCGTAAATCTCCTAGAAGAGTAAAAAAACATCGCCAACAAATTAAACATCGAAGTACACATTCTGGAGTTTAATATCATATTCTTAAGTATTTATAAAAATTTATAAAAAAAACTTATAATTGATTTATAAATCCGTTTTTATATAATATTCAACTTGAGTTTACTGAGATTTTTATAATAAGAATATAATATAAGAGATGCATAATAAAGATACACACACACATATGTATGTATGTATGAATATCCCTGAAATATTTAACGCCAAAATGTTTTTTGTCATACTCCGAAAATCGGAAGTTATTATTGTAATAAATTTATTGAACAGACTGAATATGAACAAGTAAGAGTGTTATATTCGGCTATGCCGAATCTTATATACCCACCATCAAACCTCGTTTGACTCGAATGAAACTTACTTATGTCGAATTTCATCTATATACTCGTATATTTAGGCCAGTTATAAGCGTTAAAGTAATTTTCTGAAGGGGACCATGTATAGGGGGGTAGAGTCAATTATGGGTCGATCCTCATAAAATTTGGTAGATAGAATTTGGTTCGTATTAAATTTATTTGTGTCGAATTTCATCGCTACACTCGTATTTTTTAAACCATTAATGAGCGTTGCAGTCATTTTCTGAAGGGGACCTTATATGCGGGGTAGGGTCAATCATGGACCGATCCTCATAAAATTTTTTAGATAGATTTTGACTCGTATGAAACTTACTTATGTCGAATTTCATCTATATACTAGTATTTTTAAGCCAGTAATGAGCGTTAAAGTCATTTTCTGAAGGGAACCTTATATGGGGAGTAGGGTCAATTATGGACCGATCCTCATAAAATTTCGCATATTGATTTTGGATCATAAGAAACTTACTTATATCGAATTTCATCGCTATATTCGTATTTTTAAACAAGTTATGGCTGTTAAAGCTGCTTTTCGAGGGGCCACTTGTATGGGGGCTATCCGAAAACGTGGACCGATATTGCCCATTTTCAATACCAAACAAACCTTACCTATAAGAAATATTTATGTGAAATTTCAACCCTCTAGCTCTTTCCATTCGGACTCTATCGTGCTTTCAACAGACAGACAGACGGACGGACAGACGGACAGACATGGCTAGATCGTCTTAGAATTTAATGAGGACCCAGAATATATATACTTTTGTGGGTCTATGACCAATATTTCTATGTGTTACAAACGGAATGACAAAATCAATATACCCCCCATCTTTTTTGATGGTGGGTATAAAAATTAAATATACAAATTACACTATGCGACAAAAATAAATTTCTGGGAAGTGATACTATTTTTCTGAAAGGTGGATCCCAGTAGAAAAAGAATATGTTTTTGAAATTTCCCAAACACCTCCAAAATCTTGAGATACGGGTAAAAAACCGGGTTTTCATATTTTTAAGCACTTAAAATTCAGTAACTTCGTTGAATCTCAACCGATTTTGAACGGATTTAGAAAGCATGACATACAGTGAATCAATTAAGTAATTTGCCTATGTAAAATTTTATAAATTTTAAGAAAAAACTTTGTCTGAACAATTATTTTTTTTTTTTCAAAGTTAAGCAATTTGTTTGTTGTGTTTTTTAAGGAATATCTTATATTTTAATTTTCTACCAAAAAAAAGTAAAATCGTGATATTAACTAACGAGATTTTTTATAAAATGTGAACGTATTGTTAATATTTTTAGGTCAATAAAGTATTTTGCTTTTTAGGTTTTTTTGTTTATTTTTTTAATATTGCTGTATATTTTTATACAATTTTACATTTTTATTACTCCTGTATATTAAAATAAACTTTTTTAGATATTTAAGTAGTGGTACGACTAAATTTGGACATTTCTTTAACAGATTTATTATCCTATATACCTATAAGAATTTATCAATATTTGACTTAACATGAAATCGATCGTTTCTTTGATTTTATTTCGAAAATAATAAGTAATTTTGAAAAGGATACATTATATACTAGAAAATCAATGGATTTGGACCTAGAAAAAATGTTTAGTATTATAACAAAATAATCTGGGTTTTTAGTCATTTTGTATTGATAAATAAAAACTACATTACGAGAACCCCATCTATATGGGGAGTAGGTACTGTGTGAATTTTATATAGAATTGTATAATATTGCTCTTATTCAATAAATCTAACACTAGGTACCATCCTAGCCACTCTAAGTATGGGGATATCACCGTATACCACTATAGAACTATTACATGCTAAAATCTTGATTTTCTACCTCATATTTTGAATGCTTTATTTTATGAATAAAATACAGTGGGCGTAGTTGGATCTGGATAGTTATTCTTGATTTGGGTTCTAACTATATATAAGTGTATATATTAGCTGAAAAATATTGCTTTTGTGGACCTTAGGTGATGAGAACCGCCTCTATTTGTAAATATCTAAATTAAGTATTTTTCCCGTACCACACGATAGTTTATATTGTTTCCAAGCAACCTAAGGTCTGTTTAGAGGTCTAAATTTAAACATAGTATTCTTTTAAGTTCGTATATGGACTTTGGAGAAGATAAATGAGGACTTCAATTGTTTTTGCTTAGATGCAAGTCGCTCTCCTTTGGCAGTAAAAGATTTTGAAAGACAACTCAGTGCGTTTTTTTAAATAATTCTTTGTCTTATTTCATCAATTTCTATATTTTATATTTTTTAATGATTGATTAAACATCTCATAATTGAATTTCATTGATTTACACTTGTTCTAAAAATCTAAACTAATTTTTTATATTTGAATTGCCTCATTATTTCCCTTTAAACATTTTTAACGCAAATAACTACACATTTTCACACAATGACGATATGATTTATGAAAATTACAATTGAAAAATACTTAACACGTGTCCTTTTAATAATAAAACAATTAATTCAAAAAGCAATTAAAAAATAATTTGAAAAAACCAACGAAATTAACTGGAATTTTCAATATGCAAAATACTTTATTGACGTGCAAATTCTGATGAAAAATAATAAAATGCAACAACAAATGCACCAAAATTTTTATATTTTTTTCTTGGTTTTCCCATTCTACACAATCTATATTTTCAATTGGAAAACATAAATTGACTTTTTACCTGTTTTTTTTTTAATTTTATTTATGAACAAAAACCAAAATTCTCTTAAAAAAGCAAACAATAGACCAACGTGTTATACGTTCGCCTAGTGCTCGAAAGATTGGAACAATACGTCGTAGATCTCAAGATAAAGTTCGTGTATTACGTAATCCCAGCTGGCACATGCATTCTTCAAAATGTTTACCACCATGTAATGAATCCGATTCACTATTACATGATAAGAATCCAACAAGTCTCATAAATACTAAATTGTTTTACGCAAACCATAAAATAGCTGGTCAGCACATTAACTCTTATAGCGAATTATCATCTTTACCACCGCCCAGAAAACACAACCTTACAAATTCTTTGGATAACATTTTGACCAACGATAATACAAATGAGAAATGGATGTCTGGTGAGGAATTTTTTAGTAATATGCAATTTACTGACCAAAATGACAAAATAAATGATGAATGTTTAAATCAAATTCATGTTGAGCATGTTACTCCTGTGTCTCGTAAAAATTATTATGATGCAGAAAAAACTCCAATGTTACCGCCAAAATCATTGCCCAGAAAGATGTGTAATCTTAAAACGCCATTGAAAACTACAATAAAACCATCAACAACGAGTAAACTACCCTTTGTTAACAGAATTGCTACATCAACACCAGCTATTGAGGAGGTCAGTGGTCGAGCTTCTATTGCCCGATTGAGAGCACAAAATGCTGGTATGGTTATGGCTAAAGCCAAATTATTTGATGGACTAGGAAACAGTGGTGGTAATGAGCCTCGTTCTATGGTAGAGATGGAACAAAAAACAAATACTATTCGGCACACAATGGCATTAGAGAATTCAATATGTTTTAAAAGTACAGTATCATTAGATCATAGTGATATTGGAGGGGAAGTGCAGTCAAAAAAAACATTAACAAGTACTCCAATTGCTAAACGTATTCAGAGTGCGAATTTAAATACCCCAACGAGTTCATTAAAGCGAAGACAACGTTGCAACGCTTCTAAATATCCGCAGAAGCAATTTATAAGATCTATTGTAGCCGATGATAATTTAACAAAACGACGTAATTTGAATGAGCGAACCTTTATTTCGGAAAATAGAGAAAATAGAACACCCAATAATTCGCGGAATCGTAAATCTCCTAGAAGAGTAAAAAAACATCGCCAACAAATTAAACATCGAAGTACACATTCTGGAGTTTAATATCATATTCTTAAGTATTTATAAAAATTTATAAAAAAAACTTATAATTGATTTATAAATCCGTTTTTATATAATATTCAACTTGAGTTTACTGAGATTTTTATAATAAGAATATAATATAAGAGATGCATAATAAAGATACACACACACATATGTATGTATGTATGAATATCCCTGAAATATTTAACGCCAAAATGTTTTTTGTCATACTCCGAAAATCGGAAGTTATTATTGTAATAAATTTATTGAACAGACTGAATATGAACAAGTAAGAGTGTTATATTCGGCTATGCCGAATCTTATATACCCACCATCAAACCTCGTTTGACTCGAATGAAACTTACTTATGTCGAATTTCATCTATATACTCGTATATTTAGGCCAGTTATAAGCGTTAAAGTAATTTTCTGAAGGGGACCATGTATAGGGGGGTAGAGTCAATTATGGGTCGATCCTCATAAAATTTGGTAGATAGAATTTGGTTCGTATTAAATTTATTTGTGTCGAATTTCATCGCTACACTCGTATTTTTTAAACCATTAATGAGCGTTGCAGTCATTTTCTGAAGGGGACCTTATATGCGGGGTAGGGTCAATCATGGACCGATCCTCATAAAATTTTTTAGATAGATTTTGACTCGTATGAAACTTACTTATGTCGAATTTCATCTATATACTAGTATTTTTAAGCCAGTAATGAGCGTTAAAGTCATTTTCTGAAGGGAACCTTATATGGGGAGTAGGGTCAATTATGGACCGATCCTCATAAAATTTCGCATATTGATTTTGGATCATAAGAAACTTACTTATATCGAATTTCATCGCTATATTCGTATTTTTAAACAAGTTATGGCTGTTAAAGCTGCTTTTCGAGGGGCCACTTGTATGGGGGCTATCCGAAAACGTGGACCGATATTGCCCATTTTCAATACCAAACAAACCTTACCTATAAGAAATATTTATGTGAAATTTCAACCCTCTAGCTCTTTCCATTCGGACTCTATCGTGCTTTCAACAGACAGACAGACGGACGGACAGACGGACAGACATGGCTAGATCGTCTTAGAATTTAATGAGGACCCAGAATATATATACTTTTGTGGGTCTATGACCAATATTTCTATGTGTTACAAACGGAATGACAAAATCAATATACCCCCCATCTTTTTTGATGGTGGGTATAAAAATTAAATATACAAATTACACTATGCGACAAAAATAAATTTCTGGGAAGTGATACTATTTTTCTGAAAGGTGGATCCCAGTAGAAAAAGAATATGTTTTTGAAATTTCCCAAACACCTCCAAAATCTTGAGATACGGGTAAAAAACCGGGTTTTCATATTTTTAAGCACTTAAAATTCAGTAACTTGGTTGAATCTCAACCGATTTTGAACGGATTTAGAAAGCATGACATACAGTGAATCAATTAAGTAATTTGCCTATGTAAAATTTTATAAATTTTAAGAAAAAACTTTGTCTGAACAATTATTTTTTTTTTTTTCAAAGTTAAGCAATTTGTTTGTTGTGTTTTTTAAGGAATATCTTATATTTTAATTTTCTACCAAAAAAAAGTAAAATCGTGATATTAACTAACGAGATTTTTTATAAAATGTGAACGTATTGTTAATATTTTTAGGTCAATAAAGTATTTTGCTTTTTAGATTTTTTTGTTTATTTTTTTAATATTGCTGTATATTTTTATACAATTTTACATTTTTATTACTCCTGTATATTAAAATAAACTTTTTTAGATATTTAAGTAGTGGTACGACTAAATTTGGACATTTCTTTAACAGATTTATTATCCTATATACCTATAAGAATTTATCAATATTTGACTTAACATGAAATCGATCGTTTCTTTGATTTTATTTCGAAAATAATAAGTAATTTTGAAAAGGATACATTATATACTAGAAAATCAATGGATTTGGACCTAGAAAAAATGTTTAGTATTATAACAAAATAATCTGGGTTTTTAGTCATTTTGTATTGATAAATAAAAACTACATTACGAGAACCCCATCTATATGGGGAGTAGGTACTGTGTGAATTTTATATAGAATTGTATAATATTGCTCTTATTCAATAAATCTAACACTAGGTACCATCCTAGCCACTCTAAGTATGGGGATATCACCGTATACCACTATAGAACTATTACATGCTAAAATCTTGATTTTCTACCTCATATTTTGAATGCTTTATTTTATGAATAAAATACAGTGGGCGTAGTTGGATCTGGATAGTTATTCTTGATTTGGGTTCTAACTATATATAAGTGTATATATTAGCTGAAAAATATTGCTTTTGTGGACCTTAGGTGATGAGAACCGCCTCTATTTGTAAATATCTAAATTAAGTATTTTTCCCGTACCACACGATAGTTTATATTGTTTCCAAGCAACCTAAGGTCTGTTTAGAGGTCTAAATTTAAACATAGTATTCTTTTAAGTTCGTATATGGACTTTGGAGAAGATAAATGAGGACTTCAATTGTTTTTGCTTAGATGCAAGTCGCTCTCCTTTGGCAGTAAAAGATTTTGAAAGACAACTCAGTGCGTTTTTTTAAATAATTCTTTGTCTTATTTCATCAATTTCTATATTTTATATTTTTTAATGATTGATTAAACATCTCATAATTGAATTTCATTGATTTACACTTGTTCTAAAAATCTAAACTAATTTTTTATATTTGAATTGCCTCATTATTTCCCTTTAAACATTTTTAACGCAAATAACTACACATTTTCACACAATGACGATATGATTTATGAAAATTACAATTGAAAAATACTTAACACGTGTCCTTTTAATAATAAAACAATTAATTCAAAAAGCAATTAAAAAATAATTTGAAAAAACCAACGAAATTAACTGGAATTTTCAATATGCAAAATACTTTATTGACGTGCAAATTCTGATGAAAAATAATAAAATGCAACAACAAATGCACCAAAATTTTTATATTTTTTTCTTGGTTTTCCCATTCTACACAATCTATATTTTCAATTGGAAAACATAAATTGACTTTTTACCTGTTTTTTTTTTAATTTTATTTATGAACAAAAACCAAAATTCTCTTAAAAAAGGTAGGCAAAAACTTCAAAAAAAAACTTCAACTGTCGTCAGTTCTTAACTGATTTAAAAAAACAAAGTTGCATTTTTCTCATACATTTATTAATAGTACGGTTCCTATATAAAATACTTTGCAAAATCATCTCCAAACTTTAAAAACGGTGCGAAACTAAAATCAAAAACATGTTTGCCAATGAAATGCACACATATTTTTCTAGGTTACTTAAACATGATATATGCCATTATAAAGGCCTCGGCTTCTGCTTTCTAAATCCGTTCAGAAACTTAAAATCGGTTGAGATTTGGGATGCCAAACGGGAATTCCCGATTCCCGAAAATTCCGGGATTTTCGGGATTTGAAAGCACCGAAAACCGTGATTTTAAAAAATTAAATCCCGGGAAATTTCGGGATTTTAAAATTCAGAATTTTTAAGTGTTTTTGGCTATTTTAACATTATTGTTCAGCTCCACCACAATTTCCCAAGATTTTATGAAAATAAAACAAAATATTTGTAAATTTAATGAGACGTAGATCTCTCTGTATTTATTTATTATTATTATTTTACCTCGTAGAAGCAATAACGCCAAGAGCACGTAGTGCTTATGTTGACGATCAGAAAAGAAGTGTTTTTTAATTTACAAAACGTAGATTGGTGGCAAACAATATTTAGGTACCGTTAACGGTTTACTCGTTAGAATTTTCCAACAAAGTTGTAAATAAAGCGGAGCTTAATAAGATTCTAACGTTGCAAAAAATAGTATTTGCATATGTTATCAAAACAAGTGTAAACCATAAATCGAACTTGAACATTGCCGGCCACCTTGCAACACTAAAGAGTGTTGCAATTAACAATGAGATCTATATCTATAAATTTATTGTTTTTTTTTTTTTTCTTTTTTGTTAATATTTAATAAAACAAGTGATCAAAGGTATCACATAAAACAAGTGATCAAAGGTATCACACCAGACTGGGCTGGTAAAATAATGGTTCCCATAGAACAAAGCCTATGGGATGTAGTTTTCCGCAGACTACATACTGCTCTCAAAGGGAGAATGGTTTTAAAGCAGACCATGAACTGGGTTCGTAGAAAAAGGGTTCCCATAGGACAAAGCCTATGGGATGTAGTTTTCCGCAGACTACATACTGCTCTCAAATGGAGAATGGTTTTAAGCAGACCATGAACTGGGCCCCTTAAAGAGGGGCATGGTCATAAATGACCCAACCACAAAGTGGTGTATTTAAATTTAGTATGTATATTAAAGTAGACGTAAATATATTCTTGTGAGCATTTTATGTGATATTCAAACAAACGTTAAGAAGCGTTAGACCACGTAGTGTATTGTAAATTTGCGATATGTGATTCAAAGTCCCTAGGATTGGCTGGTCCTGTCAGAATCCAGCCAAATACAGTTTTTTGTGCCAATAATGACCCTAATATATTTTGCTGTACTTCCGGTCAAATTATACGATGATATAAATCCGCACCAATAAGAATATCTACAGGCCTACTATCTAAAAGATTAGAATCCGCCAAACGAAGATTTGGCAATAACTTTTTAATATCGATATTTACGGAAGTTGAAGGCAAATTTCCTGAAATTTTTGGTAAAACAAATGCGTTTGTACTAAGGTTTACTGAAGAGTCTAAATCGGAACCAATTTCCACAGGACAATATTTAGAAACTCCAATAACTACATTATTGATGCCAGAAACTTGAGCGTGTGCAGAATGCGTGGGAAGTTTTAACCTTTTCCGTAATCGTTCAGAAATGTAAGAGCATTCCGAACCCGAATCAATTAAAGCGCGGACCTGATGCTTATTGTTATTATGAATTATATTTACCGTAGCTGTGCCTAATAGAACAGACTGGTTTTGACTAGTATGGAATACATGTGAATTGGACGTTACATTATTGGACGTATGTGATTGTTGGTAGTGGGAATTAGTAGGTCGTAGAACCGCACCAGAGTTCTGTTCCGTAGAAACAGTAGGTCTTTCAACCACAGAATTTTCTAAATGTTGTAAATGAAGCATCGAGTGATGTCGATTATTGCATATATAACAATTATTATTTATTTTGCAACTTCTGGCAGTATGTGTCCTCGAAAG